TGATATCTGCCTGTGTAATCAACGTGATACTTCGCCAAAACACGAAACTAAACAGAAAACATCCGTGCACTGTACCGACAGATTTCCAAGGACAGATCGCGAAGAGTCGGTTGTCAGTGTAAACATTTACCGTATCCACGTTGACCTTTGTTCCCGCCTTATCTGACAGTCAGGGGTGGGACCCGCGTTATGGGAGGGGAGAATGGTGCCCTAGTTCTACTGCCCTAGTTTCTCACTGTTGGCTGACTTTTGATAACACGGCTCTGAAGGACTTCACACTCAGGGAAATATGGCCCGTCTGGAATATTGTCAGCATATCCGTGTCTTCCAAAGTTCGCACATCCTTCTTACGACAATCACTGGTGACAAAGGTGTTTATGAATTATATTTTTTCCTTTCTGTCTTGCTTCTATTATTTCTTAAGACTTTTCTGTCTCTGCATCGTTTTGTATGGAAAAAATTAGTGCAGTCTTGTCAGTATGTCATAATCCCACACCGACAGACAGTAGACGGAAGAGGGAGAAAGTCAGCATGACCCATGCCAAAGGCGGGAGTGACGAGCAACTCCCGAGAGAGATCTTGAATGTAGCCCTCTCCTCCTGCTGGCTTTCACGTCTGCTACACGAGCCTTACAGTGCAACAAGGAACAACTGGGCCCATTAGTAATTCAAATGCATTCACTTGCCAGGATGCACAAATGTGGGAGCTGGTGACGGAAAGCAAGCCTATCTGTATATAGTCGGCCGTGCGGAAAGAGACCTGTCCGTAAACTGGAAGAAGGTCAATAGGGTATGACCTTGACCAGGCTCAGAGCTCTAGTTTCCCCTTAGACTGGGTCAAGTTGACGTATTCCTGTCAACTGTGTGTGTGTGTGTGTGAAACACAACATGTTGGGGACATTACCAGTTTTAGTACAGCAGTACATTGTTGGGATATGGTTGTAGAATGTTTTGCAATGTGGTTGTAGTGTTGGGATTTGATCATAGATGACATGTTTAGTAGTACTACTAGTAGACTGTAGCAGTGTGAGGTCAGTTTATCAGACATGCACTAACAATTAGAGTGACAAACATACACAAAGAAGTGAGAAAGACAGATGAATCCACAGTTAAGTGAAACAGACAGAAAAACATACACAGAGAACTGAAAGAGACATGTGAGAAATTTTAGACACATGAGCAAGCTGTAACTGACATAGAAAGAAAGCATACAATTCATGAAGTAAAAAGAAACATATAAATTGAAAAAAAAAAAAAACGCAGATATCCTTGAAATGAAGGCATCAACAGCAGTTTAATCAATGGCATTGACATAAAGAGAACATAATGTGTTTTTTGTCTTCACATCTAAAATAGTTTGCCACATTTTTTATTTTGTGGTCTCTCTGATGGCAGTCACAAATCTTCAGTGCCAGATTTCCTCATAATCTGCCAATGTTAGCCAAACAGGATCTAATTTTTATTAACAACACCTGTCAACAGAATAAGACAAATATGTCACAGGCAATGGCACCAGATTTGTAGCAGAATCACCGGATGACAGAAATTTCACCGATGTAAACTTCATCAACAAATAACATAAACACTGTATGTAACATCATGCTGCAAATAATTATCAACATTTAACACACTCCAAAAAAAAAAAAAAAAGAACCATAAAGTGCTGCCGCAGATTTGATTATTTTAATCTAGAACTATATATAGTGACCAAGTGACCACAAACAAAAGTGGGCCGATGTGATAATGATAAAAATAAGCACAATTGCTGCGATAAGTAACTGATGTTGTTAACTTTATCAATTCACTGCACATACCTCCGATACTGCAGGATACCTTCACTGACTTGCTATGAGCGGCACATGGAAGTGAAGGAGTTTGATCTTCTTTGCATTCACTGGCTGTAAAATCTGGGGGAAAGTTGTGGCTGTTCGTCCACCTCTACTTTACAGACCTGGCTTATTTGCATGCAGACTGTTGGTTCCATACCTCTAAAGTAGATGCATTCTGACTTATAAGAAAGCTCCCAGTTAGTTATTGGGGATACAGTGGGTCTAATTTTTGTCTTTCCCTTCTGAGACTCACACGGGAAAGTGTCCAGTATGTCATACTGGAGATCCCAGGTTCAGACTAAACCGGTGTACAGTTCTAGTATCGCAAATACTTCTGATTTCATGTAGTTCTATAACTGTCTACAGTTGTTCATCTACTATCTACAATTGTTTCTATGACAGTCTACTAACTAATTTGAGTGAACACACAATTCAATGTCTTCATCTGTCCAAACCCAATAACTGTTTTCAGTACTTTTTGGCAAAGTAAAATACTCAGATTTGTAAAACTATAAATGGGTCCAAAGGAAGTTATGTTGAGAAGCTTGCTCTCCTATGAAATATGCCAGGCCAAATTAGAAGGAGCTAAACCAAGGAGGAAACATCAGAAATGAAAGGGCTAGAAGAACACAGTTGACAACAGGATAGGGAATGAGCCGTCTGACTTGGAGGAAAGAAGCTTTAAGCCCAGAGACAGCGCAAATACCAGAACTTTAGCACAAAAGTGGTGCAAATAAACAAGACCACAAATATAGCCCGAGACTGTTGGCAGCTTTGGCTAGCTAGCAGCAAGTTGAACGTAGTTATTTTTTTCTTAAAGTGAATTAGAAGGAATCAATGTCTTCTGTTACAACTACATGTACATGGCCAACACAAATGTAGAATGCACCAGCTGTGTATCCCTAAAAGAGTGAGACAGAAGTTGGGGTTTAGACTACCCATGCAATTTGCTAGCTAACCAGCTGGATGGACCCCCCCCCCCCCACCCCCACATGACAGTATACTGACCCCAAGTCTACAACTGACATTACAATGTAAAATAGACTTAGTTGAAGCTGCTGTCCATGCAGGAGAGACATTCAAGAACTGCCATATACAGCTGTCACATATGATCTTCGAGCACCATGCACATATACAGCTGTCACATATGATCTTCGAGCACCATGCACATATACAGCTGTCACATATGATCTTCGAGCACCATGCACATATACAGCTGTCACATATGATCTTCGAGCACCATGCATACATTTCAGATCTCAAATCAAACAACTCTAGCAAGATAAATAACTCACTCATTACCCTCATATTTCACATATCTTGTTCACAAATACGGCAAGAAGACTCAAATATGACAAGAACACACTGACATTCTGTCACACAAATATGGCAAGAACACACTGACATTCTGCCACACGAATATGACAAGAACACACTGACATTCTGTCACACAAATATGGCAAGAACACACTGACATTCTGTCACACAAATATGACAAGAACACACTGACATTCTGTCACACAAATATGGCAAGAACACACTGACATTCTGTCACACAAATATGGCAAGAACACACTGACATTCTGTCACACAAATATGACAAGAACACACTGACATTCTGTCACACAAATATGGCAAGAACACACTGACATTCTGCCACACGAATATGACAAGAACACACTGACATTCTGTCACACAAATATGGCAAGAACACACTGACATTCTGTCACACAAATATGGCAAGAACACACTGACATTCTGTCACACAAATATGGCAAGAACACGCTGACATTCTGTCACATAAATATGATAAGACACCAACATTCTGTCATACAAATATGACAAGAAGCAACCAACAGTCTATCATACAAATATGGCAAGAGGACACTGACATTTTGTCACACAAATATGACAAGAAGACACCAACATTTTGTCACAAATATGGCAAGAAGACACTTAACAGTATGTCACACAAATATGGCAAGAAGACACTAACAGTATGTCACACAAATATGGCAAGACAGTGACATTCTGACACAAAATTCTGACAAGAAGACACTGACATCCAATCATACATCTTTATGACAAGAAGACACTGTTATTTAGTCACACAATGGTGCCGTTGCAGAAACTTGTCACACAGACCAAGTACACACTTTGATTGTCACATAAACCTGGCATTAATGATGATCATATGAGTAAATTCTGCTCACACAGTAACACACAATATCCCATCACACAAGCCTGATATACCGGCACACCCACACACATATCCTATCACACAAGCCTGATATACCGGCACACCCACACACATATCCTATCACACAAGCCTGATATACCGGCACACCCACACATATCCTATCACACAAGCCTGATATACCGGCACACCCACACATGAGATATAGAGCCAGATTTAGTAACATATGTAACTGGCGGAACTATACAATTGTTCCAGATTCTGAAACAAAACTAAGGCAGATCATGCGTTTGCTGTCCCTGCGAGTGGTCTTGTCATTTGAACAACTGGATGTCTGAAAGTGGTGCAGACATGATTCAATCGCAACCAATCCTTACATGAACCCATGTCTGGTTTGTTCACTACCGAAGTCTATGGCAGTGACAATTCAACATTTGTCCCTGATTTTTATGACAGGCAATGCTCCTGTGACACATGATAGTCTCCTGTCAAACTGGAGGAATTTAAATATTTGTGGATGTCTCCCCATATTGAATGTGATGAACTGGAACAGTTGTGGATGAATCTGTGTTTCCCAGAAGTGGTCTTGTAGAGACCAAACTTTTAAGTGAAGACTGGAACAGTTCAATGTTTATTTTATAATTCTGTTATTTTAAAAGCAACAACATGTGGTTGCTAGTTAATATCACAAGACGTCAGGCCATCCTGCAGAGAACATGGAAACCAGACACTCCCTTGGGAGGGAAAAACAGCTACCCGCCAACGCTCAAATACCTGGAGACAGGTCGTGTTGTTCTTTGTACCAAACGGTAACAACCAGCCAGCAGGTTCACAAAGTTCAACGGACTGTGATAAACAGTGATAATCCAAACTGGTTAACTTCGCAGTTTCTCTCTCGGCTCTGGTCTATGTCAACAAGCGGGCCGGGCGAGCACGACAACAGGAGCAGCTGGAGGAAAGGTCTCTCTCTCTCTCTCATAGGTCAACCGAATGTTGCGACACACAATCGTCTTCTGATTCAGAATAGCCGGGTGTTCGATTGCTGAACTGATCGCAAGAATCGTCGTCCTCGACAAAATGAAAGAACTTTCTGGCAGTTGATTCTGGCGACGTCTGAGATTGTAAACGGCGGACAGCCTCCTGTATGAGCGATTGTTCTGATAGCAACTTCTCCAACAAAACATGCGGGTCTTCTATGTGTTTACTGTCCAATATTTTTGCAGAAAGTTTCTTGTCACAAGAACAGGCATTGCAAGAGCGTTGCTGTCTGTGTTTGCCGTGACAACTGCACGAATCTGGCGATGAATAATGTTTGTGAAATCTTGGAAACACAGAGGAGCGATGGCTGCAGTCGTATGGGGTGCCCCGTCGGTTCGGGGCACAAAACCTGTCTCGGTTTTTCAAACATAATCGTTCCCTGACCTCATGAACTAACGCTTCCACGTCAACTGTAGAATACACACTGTTTGTTTCACCTTTCAACAACACCGGCATTTTGTCTGAAGCGAGGAAAACTCCGAGAAATGGACGGTTACAAGAAGAAACCAAACAGCCGCCGTCTGTGGCACAAAGATGAATGAACTATTTTTGTTGTTGTTTTCTTCTCTACACCACACCACAGCCACGCACTTGTGTCGCGCTCCGCTTTAAAACGAATCCTTGTATTACTACTAAATATACATTCTAAACAAAAACTTATTCACTAGTTATTTACTGCAGTAGATAAATATATAAAAATGTGTTTAGTTTATAGAATATATTTAGTATAATTATATTTAACTGAGACGCGAGGTCAGGTGGGTGTAGTAATATAATCACGCAGACCAAACGTGATCTTTAGGCGCCGGCTCAGCGTCTGGTTGGACCTGCCCGCATCAACACGCCGCCTTTACCTCCCCGCTTGTGTCACCTTTGTGTCTTTGTTGTCCCGCCAAGGATAGCATTTATTTACAAACAACAACAAATGGTTGTTGTCAACGTTCTAATCCACTTTAACTCATGCAGGTGACTGATATAGAAAACTGTGACATTATGCCTGTTTGGGAGAGACTAGCAGACTGCAGCACGATATGTAATATATATTTTATCTTCTTCTTCTTCTTCTTCTTCTTCTTCTTCTTCTTCTTCTTCTTCTTCTTCTTCTTCTTCTTCTTCTTCTTCTTCTTCTTCTTCTTCTTCTTCTTCTTTTTTTTCTTCCTCTTCTTCTTCTTCTTCTTCTTCTTCTTCTTCTTCTTCTTCTTCTTCTTCTTCTTCTTCTTCTTCTTCTTCTTCTTCTTCTCCTCCCCCTTCTTCTTCTTCTTTTCTTCTTCTTTTTTCTCTTCTTCTCTTCCGTTTTCTTTGTGGCAGTCACCGGCTGGCCAAAGCTGGCAGCTGCCACTATAGGGTCTAAAGACTCGCTGGCATCATCGAAAGTCCTACCTTGCCGACTTTAAACTCTTCGATTATTGATTTGAACCGAAGTACCAGCTTTGGCTGCTTACAATATAACGCGACAGTGGTCAGGCAGGGCGGTGCTCCAAGCTAATTCCTTATGACGATGTTGATTTTTACCCCCTCGTCTCCACTGCAGTCATACATACCTCGTACACGAGCAGCGGCCAGAGGAGTTTGGGAATCAACATTAACTGGAGACGCCAAACCTTGAACTTTCTGATCAGCTTGCATTGCTCGATAGCAAACAGGTCTGTTGCCAGTGACTAGTGTAGAATAGACCCAGTGCCTCTGTAACTAGCATGCCGTAAGAGTAATTAAAGGTTTCATTCGAAGTCGGAGTGCATCTGCACGAGAGGCAAGAAACTAACAGTCTGAATACAACTTAGACAGATTTGTAAAACGTATGTGCACGCAACACTCAAGTTCTGGAACAAGACTTAACAATCCGAACTTTCCGCAGACGGTTTTAGCCGGTGAACGAAAAGAAAAAGAAGAAGAAGACTAAAAAAAACTGATAATGATTCTCCTCTTACGACATGTTCTGGGAGCTCATAGCAGTTACATTCTAACCTGAAGTACGACCTACAGGGACATATAATTTCCTAAATTAATTGCGAAGCTCCAGTAAACTAAAGCTTCTTATAACCGCGACTGGCAACAGTACCTGGCCGGTTTTTCACTTCCGGACAGGGCTGCCAATGCTGGGTTTTTCCTTCCAGATCTGGGTTTTTCTAAGAGGCCTCAGGGAAATCTGTTTTTTTTTTTAAAAATATATCCTTTTATAAAAATGGTAAATGTTTTGTTTCGTAAATATAAATTTTGTACATTTTAACAATCTGGGTTTTTTTTTTTGTTTTTTTTTTTGTTTTTGTCTATGTATTGCATGACGATGGAGGTGATGGCAGTGACGCAAGCGTTTGCCTGGCTCGAAACACAAAAATACACCCACACATGTATACTCAGTGATTCAATGAGTATGATCCGGAGGGTTCAGGCAGGTTCAGTGCGAAGACAATGGCTTGAATCAATTCAGAAGTCCACTGTGCGTGGAGTCACCTTTATTTTTGTTCCGGGAAACGCAGGCGTCGTTGGAATTGAAAGAGCTGCCAGTTTGGCTGGATCCGCTATCACTACTGACGGTCGGCCTATGGATCATGCTGATATTATCAATGCCCTCAGAGAGATGGGAAGGATAGAGGACTTTCGTGGCAGTGAATCCACATCACTCGCCAGAATGGCAGACTTGGGAATTAAGATCGGCACAGCAAAAAACGAGACGCACACCGGACACGTCAGAAGACTTGTTAATCAACATAGAACTGGTACTATTAGCCATCGGACGTTGGGGTTCATACTGAGGGGAGGATCTGAGCACCTATGGACATGTCCGGAGTGCAATGATGATAACCCAACTAACTAACTAACTAACTAACTAATTGCTTGGGTTTTTGTTTAGCGAAGCTGGGTTTTTCAAAAAAATCCCATTGGCAGCCCTGCTTCCGGATCAAAACAATCGTCTGCACAAGCTCAAGGCGGGAGAGCAACTTGTCGACGTGAATGGTCCATTTTGTGTCGGGACAATTTCTTACCGTTATCTACATACTGGCTGCGTTTATTTGGACTATTTACGGAGAGAATAAAACCTGCACAACTAACATTTAGCTGAAATTTCACAGACAGTTTGAAGATGGCTGAAAACAGGCACATAATGGAACAACTTGGGGAGAAGTTGGGCGTAGACAGAAAAGTAATCTGGTGAGTGAGCAATAATAAATTTTATTTACAAATTGTAACAAATTTACATTTTTTAAACTATAATAATAAGCCGCAGAGAATTGTGATAGTCTACACATCTCGCAGACATATACATTTGAATTGAATATCTCTTCTCTACCGCTTGAGCTGGTTTTGATGGATAATAATAATATAATGATAATCCGGCTCTCCTTTAAATAACGATCGCTAGCTGGAAAGCCTACGGTCGCTTAGTGGGAGTTCACTCCCTTGGTTGCAGTGCAAATACGGACCGTAAAGAGGGAACGAAACAAATGACATACTTACCTATCATCATACGGTTGGGTAGGGTTAGATGTGAAAATTGTGACATAATGGCCAACAATCTGATGCTTGTGGGAGTGGCGCCACTGGATGTCTCCTATAAGTATAATTACTATAATGATGGCAATAGCGCGCTGCTGGTGCCCAATTGATGGCGAATTGTCCGTTTGAGTAGCATCCACAGTCCATCAATTGTTTGGGTGTTTATGTCACTGCGCGATTATTTGGAACTCCTGCGTCAAAATTGTCACATCTAACCCTAACCCTACCCCCACGCAAATTTATCGGTCATTAAGGCATACAAATCTGCAGGAGTCACATCCGTGGCAATTAATAACACTTTTATATAAGGATATATTTACTTTAAAGAAAAACCCAGATATCCACGAGGCGTCAAATAAACACCCAGATCTGGGGGATACACTTAAGCATTGGCAGCCCTGATGTTGACCTCACTGTCTGTTTTGATTCGTGACTTGTCCGCTCCGTATTTGCAATGCAGCCAAGGGAGTGAACTTCCACTAAGCGACTGTCGGCTTTCCAGCTAGCGATCGTTATTTAAAGGAGAGCCGATAATCCGTCGCTAGTCACATTAAGGGACACTAATTACAATAGTATTCATTATATGCCGACAATTTAATCTAATCACTTCTTAAATTGATAAATTGTTTGTTATGAATTTGTGGGTAGCAGTTTGTTATAAGACAGTGTTCCATTTTGCTGTGACGAGAATCATCTGTGGATTAACTACCATAGCATGGGCATGTGTAACTGACTGTCGGAAAAGAATTATGTGAAGAAAAAAAATATATATAAATATATATATTTACATTTATCAATATCCTAAGTCTAAGCTGTAATCCAGAATGGTTGAAAAAAAAATCGTTCAATACATTAGTTAGTAGTAATCAATCACTAAAGTTACAAATGTTAAGTTTGGATTATTAATTAAAAATAGTAAAATTTGGTTAGTTATCAAGACCGAGTTTTCTATACAGTTAACTCTTTGACTTGAGTCCCAGGGGGTTTAGCATCACAGGCCCAAAGGGGAGTCAAGAGAGATGTAAAATCGGCGCATCATGCGTTCATTGGGCCTCTAGGTAGGAATCTATGAACGTATGATGCGTTCCTTGGGACTCAAAGAGTTAAGCTGTGTATTTATCTTACTCTTACTTCTATCTATAGATTAGTTGAGTAAGCTGCCTGTTTTGCAGCAGTGATGTATTGTTCCATTTGTAGTTTGATGTGAGTTGGGAGTTCTGGTAGATGTAAAGATGATTGTTTCACTGTTCAGTAAAGCTCTGGAGCTCAGTGAGCTGTTGGAGGCACGTGCTGGGATCGCTTCTCTGTCAGCCTTGAGGCTGACCGGCTCCTGTAGACATGTAATTTGCCTGGACCTTGCTGCAAAAACCTCTGGGCACAGTTTGAACCAAGTATGTGGTCATTTCTTCTGTTGCAAGAACTTTTTGTTGTTGTTTTTTGTGTGTGTCTCATTTGGTGGCAGTAATTTTTCCTGTCACTTTTAACTAGTAGCTTCTGCTCCTGTATACAATGTAATTAAAGAGGGATAGTAATTAGCTTCAGGTTAAGGAATAACTATTTACTCTTTCAGGCCCCTGAATTTTGACAGACACTTGGCCCACATTAATTTCCCTTTACAAAAATGACAGAGGGGTGGGTGTACAAGAAAGGCTATAGAGAATGTAATTTACTTCTAATCCCTATAAAAGTATATATTTTTTAAAAGAGAAATGAATGTACATTTTGAATCTGGTGATAAGTGTTTGTTTAATTTTGTTATAGTTTGTAGGAAAGAAGAATTCAGCAGGCGTTAATTACACAAGGACAACATAAAAAAATCTTCACTTACCATAGTAAGCAAAATGTATGGGACACACGATCGACGATGACACCGTTGTTTGGGCAAAACGGAACTTCTCAAACAATGCTCACACCGTTGCTTGGGCCTTAAAGAGTTAAGAAATGTTACTGCCTATTATTTTACCACTTTTTACAGTGTAGGGGGGAGGGGGGTCTTTGAGCCTGAGGATTTATGGCTAGTGCTGTTGCCACGACTGTGCAGGTGAGGATTTAATTTTGCTCCTGACAGAAAAAAATCCCCAGCCTTACCGAGGATCCGAACCTGGGTCTCCCGTTTGAGAGCCTAGCATTCTAACCATTTGGCCAGCTGCTCCTCTAGAGATGTTACCACATTCATAAGTATAATTTACTTATAACCTCATGAGATCATTGCAATAACATGAAAAATAAATGCAAGGGTATTGGTGGGAAGCCATACAAGTAACAGAGAAATGATCAGAGAATACACCAGATGGAAACTTTGACAATTATACCTATGTATAAAAATAGTAGCAAAGTTGTCTAGAAGCTGAACTGTCCAGCCCGTCTTGTACTCAGACTCAAACAGGACCCCAAACACCTGAGCACATTTTGCAGACCTGCCCACTCTACCTGCAACTTCGAAAAGACACCTGGCCTCAAGAGCAAAGTGTGCAGAGCAAGCTATGGGGAACCATGCAGGACCTGCAGCTGACATGCCAGTTCATTGAGGCAACCCACCTGATGGTCTGATCTGAGCAAACGAAACCGAACGCAAAGAAGAAGTACTCAGACTGTATGGACGCTTGATACTTCGTGCTCCAGTGGCAGCATCTGCAATAGATTTTCTTGACCTGACGTGCAGAAACTGTGAATGAACAGACTATTAAAATAAACAGAAAAGGGTCCAGTGTTGCTGTAACTGTCTAGTGTTGTTGCAAGTGTCCAGTGTTGTTGCAAGTGTCTAGTGTTGTTGCAAGTGTCCAGTGTTGTTGCAAGTGTCTAGTGTTGTTGCAAGTGTCTAGACTTGAAGAGGTAATCAGTGCTGAGTTTAGGCATACACTATAGCTTAGGGCCTCAGAATCTGCAGGCTCTAAAAGAGAATTCCTATTTAACACACTAAAAAAAAAAACATAAAGTGCTGCCGCGGATTTGATTATTTTAATCTAGAACTATATATAGTGATCAAGTGAAAACAAACAAAAGTGGGCCAAGTGTGATAATGATAAAATAAGCACAATTGCTGCGATTAGTAACTGATGTTATCATGATCAATTCCCTGCACATACCTCCGATACTGCAGGATACCTTCACTGACTTGCTATGAGCAGCACATGGAAGTGAAGGAGTTTGATCTTCTTCTTTGCATTCACTGGCTGTAAACTCTTGGGGAAAGTTGTGGCTGTTCGTCCACCACTTTAGTCTACTTCCAAAACCTGAGTACTGCATGCAGATCTACTTTACAGATCTGGCTTATTTGCATACAGACTGTTGGTTCCATGCCTCTAAAGTAGATGCATTCTGACTTAGAAGGAAGCTCCCAGTTAGTTATTGGGGATACAGTGAGTCTAATTTTGTCTTTCCCTTCTGAGACCCACTAGGGAAAGTTTCCAAGATGTCATGTGTTGACAACATAATCAGTGATGTATGTGTATGTTTTGACAACATAATCAGTGGTGTATGTTTTGACAACATTATCAGTGATTGTATATGTGTGTTTGGGAAATCATGATTACAAATGTTTAAAGTAGTAACCTTGAACCTTTTAGAGGATTTAAAAAAATTTCTGTGACTTTCCTAACACATTTTTTATTATTTCTTTAATAAAAGTGAAATAACATGCGTTCAATATCCATCTATTTTAAAAGACGTCAATATTTTCGCCAAGAGATGATGCTGGATAGGCTGGAACGATGGCATGAAGGGATATCATCAAGAGAGATGTTCCAGGCAACCAGGGATTGTGATCTGTGGAGACGCATGAGCACCTATGCCAGTTAACAGAGCACATGATGATGATATACTTTCAAGTATTTTGAGATTGGCTAGTGTCATTGAAAATGAAAGGGGAATCAGTTCTTTACATATCTTAGGACCTCATGAAGTGTAGATCTCGGTGTAAGAGGTCAGACTTGATTGTTTGACATGTTCAGCACAGTTACATTCCTGGATAGTTTTTGTGTTTCTCTGTTTCCTGTCTTGACAAGAAGGAACTGTAAACATGGCGATGCAATTGAGCTGTAGCCTTGATGTTGTCAATCATCAACATGAAGACGCTGTAGTTGTGATTTTGTGAATCCCACGTGTCTTCAGGTAGATGCTGTAGTTGTGATTTTGTGAATCCCACGTGTCTTCAGGTAGATGCTGTAGTTGTGATTTTGTGAATCCCACGTGTCTTCAGGTAGATGCTGTAGTTGTGATTTTGTGAATCCCATGTGTCTTCAGGTAGACGCTGTAGTTGTGATTTTGTGAATCCCACGTGTCTTCAGGTAGACGCTGTGAAGTTGTCCAGCATGAACAAGAAGTCCTACAGCGAGGCCGTCAAGGTTATTTCCAGCATGTTGAATCTGGAAGAAAAGATGACTCTCCGAGAACTGGCAGTACAGTTTGGCTGCACTGGGGCTGTCAGCCTGGCCACAGACACATTACAGAGGTGAGTCTCTGCTGGAGTCTGTTGTCACTTGTGGCTTACATGTGTTGTGAGTTTAACTTATATGTGTGGTCAGTTAGCGTATATGTGTGGTGAGTTTAGCTTATATGTGTGGTCAGTTTAGCTTACATGTGTGGTGAGTTTAGTTTATGTGTGGTGAGTTTAGCTTATGTGTGGTGAGTTTAGCTTATATGTGTGGTCAGTTTAGCTGATATGTCTGGTCAGTTTAGCTTATATGTGTGGTCAGTTTAGCTTATATGTGTGGTGAGTTTAGCTTACATGTGTTGTCAGTTTAGCTTACATGTGTGGTCAGTTTAGCTTACATGTGTGGTCAGTTTAGCTTATATGTGTGGTCAGTTTAGCTTACATGTGTGGTCAGTTTAGCTTACATGTGTGGTCAGTTTAGCTTACATGTGTGGTCAGTTGAGCTTATATGTGTGGTCAGTTTAGTTGACATATATGGTGAGTTCAGCTTACAGGTGTACAGGCAGTGTACGATAGTTACACATAGACAAGATTCTTCATGCCTAGATACTAGCGAACAACAAGTTTCAAGAATGGAAGCCAGCCAGACCACCCAGATGTTTCTGCAGAACCTTGTGTAAGAATTCTTCTCTATATCCTTGTCACCCACTGATTATGCAACCCTTCACAGATCCGTGACACCCCCCGAAACATAGGACAGGTCCTGCGAGGTGACAAGGCATGAACGGGATAGGAAGTCACTCTCTTTCTGGGCCTGACAGCATTAGAAGAACCCATCTTTCTACTCCCATGTCATAAGCTGGAGGCAACTTCTGGCAGAAAGGCTGAAGAATGTGACCTAGTACTGCATGCAAAGACTCTCAAACATGTCTACAACTGTCATCCAAATCCCGAATGGACACACATATACACCGATGGATTATTGGAGGGAGCAGAAGAAAACAGAGGCGCTGGATAGTTACCTCATGCGCCTCCAGAAAACTCTCGTAAGACTTCATAACAGCAGCAAGCAATTATTGATTCAGCCAAAGTGCTTAAGGAAAGAAAAAATTAAAAACAGCAAAATTGTTTTCCTTTGTGACTGTATGTCAGTCCTCCAGGCAACTGAGAAGGATCCACAAGACAATATGGAGAGAGAACTGACCCTCCAGCTATACAGACTCGCAGAAAAATATCAGATCATTCCCCAGTGGATCCCGGCTCACTGCTGCATACCAGAAAATGAGTTAGCAGACAGTCTTGCTAAAAAAGTAACAAAGGAGAAACAAAACATCCATCCATTGTCATTACCAGAAATCAGAACACTAATCAAGGGAAAATACAAGGAATTGTGGAGAGAATAAACTAACAGTAAACATCCACAAGATCTATCAGCAAACTCAACAGAAAGCAACATAAAACAATTTTCCGTCTATGAACAGGACACTGCGGGCTCAACTACCACATGCATAGAATAAAGATTGTAGTCCCCACAGTGTGGTTGTCAAATGGAACCACAAACACATGAGCACATTCTGCAGACCTGCCCACTCTGCATACAACTTTGAAAAGACACCTGACCTCAAGAGCAAAATGTGCAGAGCAAGCTATGGAGAATCATGAAGCACCTGCAGCTGACATGCGAGTTGATAGAGGTGACCCACCTGATAGTCTGATCAGAGCATACGAAACCGAACGCAAATAAGAAGAAGCTCTCCCTAGGGGTTCTAGAACCCCCTTTTAGAGTAAACAAGAATGGACAAACTGCCCCCATCCTTCACAAGCATGCCATGAAAAGATAGCTACTTTGGAGTTGAAATGCATCTACCTGAGAGGCGAGGAACCAACAATCTGCTCTCAGATAAGCCAGATCTGTAAAGCAGAGTTTACAACCAGTGAACGAGAAGATGAAGAAGAGCTTTAGCAAGTGGCTGAACACAGGCAGTAAGAAGGTACAACACCAACTGGATTATCTTGTACTATTGCAAATTTGGAATATCTAGGCTCTATAATAAACAACAATGGCGACTGTTCAACAGAGATTAAAAGGAGGATGGAGAATGCAAAGATTGAACAGCCTTAAAAGTCTATGGTTAAGCACCAGCAAGGAGATAAAAATTAGAATTTTGAGAGCATGCATCTTCCCTGTGGCTACATACGGATGTGAGTCGTGGACTATCTCTCAGTCCTCAAGAAAGAGAATAGGGGCTTTTGAGCTGAAATGCTATAGAAAGATTCTCAGAATATCTTGGACAAAGAAGATATTGACATCTTAAAAGATCTGAACATTAAGGAAGATTGGCTAATAAACAGCATCCTTTCTCGAAAGCTGAAATATTTTGGTCATATTAAGCGCCACGACGGATTGGAAAAAATTATAGCAGAAGGCATGGTACCAGGAAGGAGGGACAGGGGCCGACCGACATGAAGATGGGCACAGGATATAGGTGACTCCTTGAGTGTGAAAGTTCATGAGGCGGGAGAACTGGCGAGAAGCTGAGTATCTTTCGGGCAGATTGTGATGAGAGCGACGTTCTGCAAAGGACCTGCTACATGACGATGATTGCAAATTTAACATTTTAGCCTTATTCATTTGAGTACATTTGTATGTATTCCCCTGGAAACACAAGCAACTAATTGTAAACATTTGTCGCCTGTCCAGGTATATCTCCGACCAGTGTGGAGATGTGGACTTCCATGCCCCCATGTTTTTATGTGCTGCTGTCCTTGTAGCTTGCCGGTAAGTTTGTATTCTTGTTTTAAATTTCGAAACTTGTTTTTGTTTTAATACATAGTGCTAGGACAGAGAGTCATATGATTTGATTTGATTCAAGAACTGACATCACAGCACTCGGGCATTCCCATAAGCGCTCCATCCCCATCTTCAGCAGCCAGCGAAGAGTTCCGATACTAATGGTGCCAGTAGCATTCTGATTAAACGTCCATCTTGCCTGTCCTCTGAGCCTTGAGCATCTGCCAGAACCCCTAGTCACTCCTCTCTACATCAGTCTCACCAGTCTGTGATCCATCTGCTCCTCCTAACTGTACAAGCTCTCCCACAAGGCACTAACCACGTCTGCCTTATGTATCAGTATTCCACCAAGTTGTGCAGAGCCAGCCAGTCTGTCCGCCTGTTCATTTCCCAACACACCGGCGTAAACCTGTGAAAGAATCCAGACAATACTCATTAGAGAGTCCTAATCATGTAGCAAGTAAGCCAGTAAAATGGATGTACATGCAAACTTCAGGTCCTGACACAAAGTCCACATGGACGAGAAACTAGGACTTTATGCTGGAGCCCACAGCTGATGAACACAAATAAACAACACAGTAATGCAGCTAGCAACCAGCACAGCATCCTTATAGTCCTGGGTTCATATCCCATATAGTACAAATATTTAAATTGTCATCTGGTTCTGGAAGGAAAGAACAAAAATAGAACCTTTCCTGCTGTATTCGTGTGAAACATGGATATTAAGTAGTTGAGCTGAGAAACACGACAGCGGAACCTGTGTGAGGAAAGTGCAAAGAAAACCATCGACTGGCAGAAAAATATGTAAGACCAACCAGTCAGGGAAAATCCATAGGTAAATCGATTCGGAAAAGTAGACGTGGACAATGCATGTTTAGTGCAATAAGGAGAAATCACAGTTCATTGTCAGTTGACAGAATAGGTGAGAAATCAAGATCACTGTCTGTATAGTTTAGCAACATGATGTTCACTGTTGAACACTTGTCTACTTTCAGATATCCAGTAGTCTCCAGGGATATATCCACTTGTTATCCACAATCTTAATCAGATACTAGTTGGAATTTCCATGTATATAGAATATCAACTGACTGTTCCTCTGCTCTGTTCAACACAGAAAACTCAAGCAGAAAATCGACGTTGTCAAACTTAAGGAGCGCAGTGGGGCCAAAAAGGCAACTTTGGACAGACTTACTGCACAACTAGGAAAATATGTAGACGCACCCGTTGGTAAGTGTAATTTACAACCAATTTTAGATCATATTTGTTTAATTTGATTTAAGTCAACTCAGTCATCAGTCAGGATTGTTTGTGGGTGTACTACAGCTGTATCTAGGGATGAGGTAAATAGGTATTTGTTACCTACCAGGACGTCACACAAGCGATAAACACTCGGTGACACAAAGTGCCACCATGCGGATTAGGATCACCCATGGAGAGGTCCTGGAAACCACTTTCAGCCTTTAAGGCTATATCTATTAGTAGGCCATATTTATGGCCCGGCTATATTCAGGGCCCCTGGCATATGGAGTATTTTTTCTAAAGCCGCGTTAGTGCAGTCGATAGACTCACTTTCAAATCCAGCTGTGACTCGCTGCAGCCCACGGCCGGTGTACGAAACTGGGCAGTTCCTGGGGTTCACCCAGCCTCTAGGAAATTGGTACCAGAGTTAACACTGTGGGGTAAATGGAGAAATGTTCATTATCATATGCATATAACATGCTTTTTGATAAAATACAGCTGCAGTGTGAAAGACGGGTGTTTGGAAGAGCCGAATGTAAGACGGGCCTACGTGCCCAATTTGTGACCCTTTGAAAATAAAGTTTGTTTGTTCGTTCAGCTAATATATCCTGTCTCCTTCTGTGTTATAACTTTTTCCAAACACCAGCTATCTTCTGCTTTCACCCTTACAAGGGCTATTTTTTACAGCTAGACTGTGATATTGCAGCCTTTCAGCCCAGCACATTCCCCATTGTTGGATAAAACAAGAATAGACCCACTGCCTCCCCAGAAGTCTGTCATAAAAGTCAGTTAATTGGGAGCTTCTTTCATAGTCAGAATGCATCTACCTAAGAGGCAAAGAACCAAAAGTCTGCCTATAAATTAGTCAGATCTGTAAAATGGATGTGCATACAACTCTGGGGTTCTGGAACTAGTCCAGAACTTTGTTCTTCTTCACGTTCACTGGCTGTAAACTTGCAGACAGTCCTGGTTGTTTGTCCACTTGTGGACCCCAGTCCTGTTCCAGAACATTAGTGTTGTGTGCACATCTGTTTTACAGAGGAATCTGGCAGATGCACTCCAACTTCAAAGGAAACCCCCAGTTAGTCGACTCTTGTGAAATGCCTGCCCGGAAAGCAGTGAGTTCTTGTTCCCCCCCCCCCCCCCCCCCCCCCACAATGGGGCCTCAGATCCCACACTGAAAAGGAGTTTGTTGAAATTGACTGTGATGGGTCAAAGGCACAGATACGGCAGCCTAGCTGTAAACCACAATGCAACATGCCAGCGGAGTAGTATCTGAACATGATCATGTGTTTCTGTCAGCAATCAAAAATAATTGTGATGTGTCTTCAGTTGTGAATCTTTGAGTGACTACTTACTGTTGTGTACTTCCACAGGGAAGACGGTAAGAGCCACCAGTCACAAGAGGACTTTGATAGACATGGTAGAAGCTGACATACAAGGTAAGCTGATCCTAGAGATGTTTGTCCGTGTGTTCCTCAGCACCATATACCTGGTTTACAACTGTGGACATGTCCTGGTCTGCTTGATCATGCCTGTGTTACGGAATCAGATGAACTCTACAGAGCATACTCATTCTGAAATGTTGTCGGATCAGCATCTACTAAGTAAATTAGTTAAAATCTCAAGAGGTACATATCTTATAGCGATAGAAAATGATAGCATTAGCTCTGTCGCCCAGGAAGCAGCAAACAGCAATTCTGTAAAGGCTGCAAAACATATCTGTAGTGAACTGTTTCCAAGAAGCATAGTTTAATGTCATTGGTTCTGTTTGCAAAGAAGTAGACAAACAGATATGGTTCGAGACAGTGTTGAGGCAAACTCTCTTGTGGAAACTACATTAAAAGAGCTCATGAAAAATTCACAAAGCAGTTCACACAAAAAACAAAACAAAAAGTTGCGGTTAAAAGTATTGTGAGTTGGCTATCAGGACAATAGAGGTAGCAGCAACGGGAATCCTGAGATTTTTACCATCCTACAAATAAGATAGCAAAGATGGCTGATCAGAAATATTGCAAAATGCTCACCAAATCGGATATGAAATCCAAGATTGGTTTGATTAGTAATAGACCAGGCCTAGTCAGATCTCTAGCAGGCACAGATGTGGCTGGACAGCAACCGTTCAAAAGTTTTGTGGCAGAAGCTGTTATCATCCTGCTTGTCTAACATACAGTTTGATTATTTAAAAATTTCCATTCTGCAGCTGATGAAAGATCGCAAACACAAAGATTAGAGGAGGATGGAGAAGACAGGAAAGATGCTAGGCAACAGAAGACATCAGAGGCAGATTATCAAGAGTGGAAGCGGAGAATCCTGGCCAGGGCAGCCAAAACTTCTTGACAAGCTGTTGTGGTTAGCTGACATGCCAGGCAGGCCCATTTATCCAACAGTGACAGTTGATGGTGAGGTTGGAGCACAGGAGCAAGTCTGACACCAGTGCAGCAAGTTTGATGCTAGTGAAACTGTGTTGGTGACCAGTTCTCATTGACTTCAGCAACTTGATGTCTGTCATTCACGTGTAATTAGTGCTATCTTAGCAGCCACAGCGAATTTAATAATTATTTTGTGAAAGTCCTTTGCGGAACGTATGTAAATACTACATGTGTTGCCGTATGCATATCATCACATGGTAGGCCCTTGTGTGGAGTATTGCTGCCATCATGATCACCCCTGCCTCACACACGCGCACAAGATGACTTGCAGGCATTAGCTAAACACTCCTGCTGACAGACACACAGTCACAGATGGCTCATTGATTCTGTCACTGTTTACTTGAGATCGTCTCCTTTGTTGTTTGGATAGTGAATGTCCTCTGGACATTGTGGCTGTGTCAAGAAAGATCACCTGTTACTGCTGCTGTGATCTTGTTCGGTAAAACACGCTATTAGAGCTTCCTGTACCTAATTTTACCTGTCATCTTGCCTTTTCTCTTTCTTGTGATCTCGCTAGTCGTCAGCCACTTGTGTCTTGTTGATCCTTTGATCTATGCCACATAGACCAGATCATTACCTACCATACCTGAGTGTTGATCATGTCATCATCAGTGATGACATCATCAGCAGACTCAACAGAAAGCAACATACAACAATTTTCCATCTACAAACAGGACACTGCAGGCTCAACTGCCACATGCATAAAATAAAGATTGTGCAGTCCCCACAGTGTGCCTGTCAAACAGGACCACAAACACCTCAGCACATTTTGCAGACCTGCCCACTCTGCATACAATTTTGAAAAGACACCTGGCCGTAAGAGTGAAATGTGCGGGAACCATGAAGGATCTGCAGCAGACATGTGAGTTCATAGAAGATGTTTAGAAGAGAGCAAAACCAATCTTGTTGGTTGAATGTTGTCCTTTAGTCTACAGGCACACATTTGAATGACTACATTTATTTACTGATCTGTAGACACGTCGTTCTCGTTGTATGGTCTTTTATTTTGTTTATAACATGTGCAGACATTCTTTGTTGTTAGTGTGATAGAAAGCAATAAAAGATTTGCTTACTCCGTGTTTGGTTTTTGTACAATACACTAAATGTTTGTATTAGCCTACCTGCTGTAGTCAGTCTGTGTTCCTGGCAGAGGTTGATATGGTTTGTGAGTTGGCTGAGACAGTGTTTTCACATGATGGAGTGCACTAGAAGAAAAAGAAAGAAACTGAAGCAGCTGCCCATAAGAGAACTTGGTGAACCTGCCTGTTGCGTTGTTATCCATGATTTCACAGTCACAATCAGCTTCTGAAACAGGTCCAAAGGTGGATGAACAACCAGAACTTTCCGCTGGAGTTAACAGCCGGTGAACATGAAAAAGAAAAAGACTTTACCAGGAAGTGCATTTTCTCCCAAAAAACTTCAGTCTCGGAAAAGGGGGGTGAAGGGGTCGAGGTCTCTTAACAGCATTATGGGTCCTTGGGCAAACCAGTGTGCTGAAGCCCCACAACGACCACTCAGAGGAATGATATATAAATGGTTGATAATATTACAACATACATTTATTTTATTGGAGCTTCAACAAATGCAAGGGGAGGATGTGGATGTAATTTTGGTTTTATATCACATAGAATTAATTTAAAAGAAAGAAATATATATATATATATTGTCAAGCCACTTAACATAGATTAGTATGGGGCCCTGTGGGAAGGGCTCATGAGTTGAGACGGTCCAGTTGTAAGATCAGACACCACAGTAAATTCCTCCTTCCACCTACACAGTTGACTGTCAACCTAGAGGTGCCCTAATATCTTTGAGCAGGGTTTCTTGGATTCGCTTCTCATCCTTGAGACAGCAATCCTGCAGAGGGCAGTGATCACCACCACCACTGAGCTTCCAAACACCGCCTTGCTTCTGCTTTAACCCAAACAAGGGCAGTTTTTATAGCTAGGCTGTGATATTTGCAACTTTCAGCCTAACACATCTGATTTCAGCAAATCCTTAACTAGTTGCCTTTTATGGCATGCTTGTTGAAGGCAAAGGGTCTCTTTTCTCTACAGAACCCGCACAGAGACAAACACTCCAAATTTGAAGAAGTAAAACTGAGTTGTTATGTGGAGGCAGTGTCGCCCTCAGTTTCTCCTCTCCTGCCATTCATCTCTGTTAAGGCATCTTTGTCCCTGTATTGTTGTGAATTCCCGGGGAAAATCCCAGAGAGTTCCCAATGGGGAGGACAAGGTCAGAGGACCAGTGATACAAGAGGAAAGCGAGATAAGTGGGTCTCGAGTATCCCGTGGTGAGCGAAAAAGGGATACAAGAAAAGCATGAGACTGGAACGGAGGACGTGAACCGAGAGACAGTAGTAAGACAGTTGAAGTTCGGACCTGGTTGCGTGCGGTCGTATGTGAGAGAACACCTGATGAGAATGGAGAACTTGTGACCACGTATAATTGTTTGAGAGCAGTGATGAATGTTTTCCTGATTGCCAGTTTCAACATGTACTAATACCAGGTACAATGTGTTAGTATGATATTGATGTGCGATCCGAGAGATACAAACGGAGCGAATCAGTATGCGAGAGAGTTGGCCAGGTCATCAGAAATCAGCCATTCATAGCGACCACAGGGACGAAAGAATGCGCTGTCAGTGAGATGTTTGATTCAGCGAATAAAGGTCATAACTGAACATTCGTTTTCTGGTGTGTCCTAGCAACTAAGTGTTCGTCAATACAGCAATGTGGCGTGTAGAAACAACCCCTAGCAGAGCACATTGCTGTCCCAAAGTCTGTCACTGCTAACTGAATAACATGACACATCTGGGCTTCCCAGGCTTAAAGTAAGTTGACCAACATCATCATCATCATGCAGCAAGATATACAATAATAATGATTAAACTCCAATAGAAACCATGATGCGAACGCTGATGAGAGAAGGCAAGGGTGCTGGACTGGATTCCATCCATGGTATTTAAGGGATCTAATAGGATAATGGTTGACTATTACAATGAAACAAGCTCTGACCCCTAACCCTATAACATTATTGTCAGGGAAGCCTTGGGTTAGAGTTTTGTTTAATTGCATAATAATAATAATTTAGTTCAATCAAGAAAATAAAAAAACCAGGACGCATAAAGACAAATGCTTAAAAGCGAACGTGTATATTACACCCCCCCCAAAAAAAAAAAAATTGACGGGCTCAAGGCAGCTTTGAACTGATTCATTCTGTCGCAAGTAATCATAAATGCAATGCCCACGGCAGCCTCAAGGCACCTGATAATGATGACATGTGAACTGATGGGGATCATCATCATAACCCACTTCTGCCGTTATGCCGCGTGGGGAGGAATAATTTGCGATCCAGTGCGCGTTAGCTGCCACTGGCTATTGTCATACCGTGAAGGCGTAGCGTCTCTTTAACGCTGTCGATTCATGTTTTCGCGGCCATCCTCATGTTCTTGTAGCTGATCTTCTTAAATGTAGTGCTTATGATGCTATTTGATCGTGTTGCATTCTAACGGGATTGCCAAACCATTTGATCTACCGTTTCTCAATGATTTATCCAGTTAGTTAGTTAGTTAGGTTATCATCATTGCACTCCGGACATGTCCATAGGTGCTCAGATCCTCCCCTCAGTATGAATCCCAACGTCCGATGGCTAATAGTACCAGTTCTATGTTGATTAACAAGTCTTCTGACGTGTCCGGTGTGCGTCTCGTTTTTTGCTGTGCCGATCTTAATTCCCAAGTCTGCCATTCTGGCGAGTGATGTGGATTCACTGCCACCAAAGTCCTCTATCCTTCCCATTTCTCTGAGGGCATTGATAATATCAGCATGATCCATAGGCCGACCGTCGGTAGTGATAGCGGATCCAGCCAACCTGTCAGCTCTTTCATTTCCATCGACGCCTGCGTGTCCCGGAACAAAAATAAAGGTGACTCCTCGCACAGTGGACTTCTGAATTGATTCAAGCCATTGTCTTCGCACTGAACCTGCCTGAACCCTCCGGATCATACTCATTGAATCACTGAGTATACATATGCGGGTGTATTTTTGTGTTTCAAGCCAGGCAAACGCTTGCGTCACTGCCATCACCCTCCATCGTCATGCTGCTGGTTGTCATGGAGAAGGCGCCGTTGGCTTCTTTGACTGTTCTGCCCGCTGAGCGTGCTGTAAATGCCCATGCGCTTCTTCTTTGGCGTATAACTGATCCGTCTGTATAGATTAGTGCATCTGCTTCGTCTGAATTTTCACCGATGAGAGCGTTGACCTCTGCATTAACAGCAACAGGATTATCTTCTCTACATCGCCTGTTGAGTGTGACAATACAGGAAAATGTACAAATAAACGCCTGAGGCACAGGTATCCATTCTGCACCAGGTATGATGTCGGTTAGGCTGCATATTTGCCTAATAACATCTTCTGCCCGACCTAGCCACGATTTTCCCCTCTTCAGTCTGTCGCCCTTTTCACTAAAAAGCGCTTGATGCAGTGGGTGTTTCTTATCAGCACATATTTTGAGGTATGCCCGAGCCCTCCACATCCTGATCCTTTGGTTCATTGTTGGAAAGTCAAGTAGATACCTCATTGCTCCACAAGATGTGTCTCTTGTACATCCCAAAATAATACGCATGGCTTCATTTTGCACCTTCTCGAGTCGTTCAATCTGGTTAGCACTGACAGTGAGGATGGCCAGAGCGTATTCAATGGGGGAAAGGACCAGACCATAGAATAGAAGCACCAGCAGTCTTTGCTCGATATTGGAAGCAGCCATAATCCTCATTGCAGATAGACCTTTGCGTGCTTTTGTTATCGCATGGTCAACGTGTTCCCTGAATGACAAGCTGCGATCGAACCTCACCCCGAGAAACGTCATAACGTTGGTTCTGATCAATACATTATCACGCATTTTCACT